TGTGTGTGTGTGTGTGTGTGTGTGTGGGTGGGTGTGTGCGTGCATGCGTGTGTGTGTGTGTGTACGTGTGTGCGTATGAGTTTACAGTCTCTGCCTGTAGAAACGCGTACGGTGAGTATGAAGGAAATAGGAAGGATGGAGGGGGGTAGGTACCAATCCTGCTGCGTGTAGCGGAAGCACGCATACCGACATGCCCTCGCTTACATGCACACACACGTCCTATACGTCATCGAGCGCCCGTCGATTCTGCTTGTTTTTTTGTGGCTTCTCCCGGACTAATATATAAATATAAATATAATAAGAAATATAATATAATAATAATAAGGAAACAATATATGAATATAATATAATCAAGAGCTAACAATGCGACGGCCTTGTGTCCCATCGCAGGACCAAGAGGATAAGAAGAAAATAAGAAGGTATTATTAGCTCTTGATATAATACAAATATATACACTCACACGCATATATATATATATAATTATATTCCTGTATATAATTATTAATAATCCTCGTATATTGTATATTATCTCCACGTTTGGGACTGCTTTTGGTGCGAATTATTAAGTAAAACAGCACGATGAAGGTATATATATTTTCACTTCAATGCGATATGTTAAACTCATCCACTCACTCATTGCAACTATCGCAGTCTTTCAGGAACACGTCCACGTACGACTGGCCAATATGCCTGAGATGTAAATGGCCATTTTATAACGTAGTATAATATAGTTATTCGAGTGGAATTCTGACCGTCGACTCTATCAAATTCAATCGCCGACTGCGAGGTTGCGCCTCTTATTTGATTCCCTGTTTGATAAATGCAACTTGAACTTTTCTGTGCGCGCGGAACCTCTCGTGGTGAATGAATAAATGCATTTAGTATTATTGGTAGTTAAATGCGAAAGAACGCCATGGCTCGGTAAGACGATTTGTTTGAGCGGGACACATGTCGGCTGTATAGAGGATGAGGGTAGTAGTACCATTGCACTACACTTAATCACACAGAACGGAAAGACGATATATATATTCTCTAGCTAACTCTTTCTCTCAAGCCCCCCTCCCCCCATTCTCTCAATTTATTTCTCCGTTTCTCTTCCTCTCTCGATCTCTCAGTGTGTATGTGTGTGTGTGTGTGTGTGTG